TGTCCACAGCTACAGTGTCCACAATTGTAGGATTTTATTTATTTCCTTCTTAAGACTCAATTTAATTTATCAGTTTGGCTCCACTGTGAGATTTTTTTGAAAGTACTAAATATACAAATACATCATAGATGTATATATATATATATATATGTTTTTCATTTTAAAAGGCAGTGTTGATGGTGTGACAAAGTAGTGTAAACTACAAATGAGCTACAAAACTACAAAACTCCCATGTTGTGTCCAATTTAATTTCCGGACTGTTTCAAAATAAAAACTTTGAGACATCAAAGATGTCTACTTTGAGAATCTTTTCATCTGTTGAACCGGTTCACAAATATTACTGGATTATGGATAATATTCGGTTGTAAGAATAGTTAATAAATAACATCTTTAAAAAGCGACCTTTATTCATGCAAATACATTTTAAATGAATTGTATTAATGTATTTGAGTGTGCACTCAGATGTTCCTCATTTGTGACCCTGGACCACAAAACCAGTCATAAGGGTCAATTTTTTTAAATAGAGATTTATACACCATCTAATCTGTCACATTTGTGCTTTTTTTTTTTTTTTTTTGACAGACCGGACAGCAGTAAATACTTGCTAATATGCCCTTGTTAAAAAGAAGTACACTTTAATAGTAGAAATTGTATAAATAATATATTTTGAAATTGCATACTTAAGTTTGAATTAAATGCAATGTTTTTAGCCAGTTAATTGCATGTTATTTGAAATTAAATGAAAATGTATTATAATTAAAATATATATCAAATGCAATTAGTTGAATTTAAGAGTGTTTTTGACCCACTTAAGTGGGAAATAAGTACATCTTTATATGCAATTTCATTATTATTTCTAATGGCTTTGAAATATGGTTAAGTGTACTACTAAATGTACTGACAAGCATTTATAATAAACTACATTATACTTCAATGCCATTTGTATCAAAACCGGTAAGTTATGTATTTAAATATTTTTGTAATTACACATTTGTAATCATAAAGTTGCAATTTAGTATATTTAAAATATATTCACTTTAAATGTAATTTCAAATGAGACACTACAGTTCAATTATAATAATAAAGTACTTTACATGTGCTTTAGTATGTTAGTCAACACATCAAAATAAATGTCCCGTCCCCTCTGTGGGACGCCTAAGTTTACTTCACTATATTACAATTAAATCCTAATCTAATCATGACAAACTATCACTGAGAATTAGACTTGCTAAAAGTGTTTTAGGTTAGCAACAGCAGTGTGTAACTGGTTCAAAAAGATTAAAGTCATATGAAATGTGTGTGTTTCGTATGGTAACAAAATATTGTTTTTATAAAGTTGTGTATAGTTTTGACAAAAGTGTTCCATTTTGCAAATGATCTGAAGTGTTGTGCTACTTTGGTGTAGGGTTGTGTTAATTGTGTGTAGTGTTTTGACAAACCGGGCCCTGTTTTCAAAATTGTGCTTAAGCAATCGTAAAAAAACTGTAAACCATGACAAAAGATTATTAAAACATAGTGAAAAAACAGTCATCACAGTATCTCTCTTTAAGTACACTTAAGTGGCATTTTAATTCATATTACAATATCTGCAAGTTAAGTTTTTTTTAAATATACTTTTATGATTTGAAGTACGCTACAAGTAAAATTAGGTGCACTTCATATTAAATAGAATTAGGTGCACTTTTTCATCAGACATGGTCCACATGTTGAGCAGAAATAAATACATAAATATTTTTTTTCTCTAAACAAAGACTTGAAACATGGACCTTGATGCTCTGCAGGGTTACAATGATGTTCAAATGGTTTAAGATCCTGGTTGTGTTTTTTTGATGAATTAGTGATGGCCAGCAGAGGGCACAGCAGCTTATTGTAGGATCAAGACCATTAAACACTTTGATTCCAGCTCCTGAAGGTCTGTGTGTGTGTTTCTCTAAGGCACATTTATAAAAAAATTACTTAAATGTCCTAATTGAACTATGGCCTAATCCTGGCTTAGTCTAAGCCCCATCTGTGAAATCTGTCATTAAAATGCCCTCTCTTTAAGTACACTTAAGTGGCCATTTATTTCATTAATTATATATTAATTGCATTCTATTATCTGCAAGTACAGTGTTTTAAGATATACCCTACAAGATCACATTCAATACAATTAAGTGCACTTCTTTGTCACAAGGCTATTTCGACCTGCATATTCTATTGTTTTACTCATGAAGATCTTGTTGCCAGACATGAACTGCCACTGCACTTCATTATTTCAGACGGCTGATGAAGACTCTTCAGACACAGACGATCTCCTCGACTACGCAGAGGAAGTGGGCCGTCATCATTCCCTCATGGGATATGAGGGATCTTCCAAACACTCCAGTACGGATTGCCAGAGGCACAATGGGTATGTTTGCGTCTGTGTTCCCCAGGTAGAGTTGCATGAATAGATTCGATTGATGTTTTTTTGTAGAACCGACTTTCCACACCACATCCATGCCATGCAATCTGAAGTATACTTCATGTTCATAGCAGTATGAGTTGCCTATGAGTTGTTCAAATCACTGACCTTAAATATGAGCAAAATTAATAGTGATGTCTTTTTTTTTTTTTAGATAAATGACGTGTTGTTTTCTGCAGATCTCTCTTGGGTTCTCCTGACCTGTGGGAGGAAGTTCAGGAACGGGTTCAGAGCCTTTTAACATCTCCCAAAGCCGTTCAAAGACTAACCTGTGTGAGTACCACTCAAACAAACACACACGCTCCCGTTTTTAATGAACGCTGTGGTATGTTATGCCCATCGTGGGATGGATCATTCAGCCTCCTCTGCCTCTGTTTGTGATGTCAGGGTGCCACCGACTCTGAGATAGACGAGGTATTGACACGCAGATCTGTTTTTGCCCACTCGTGCGCGTTCTAAACACCAGCGTGTGCTATAAGGAAGTGGTACGTTTGTGCTTATGTAATGGCGAGTCTTTAAATATAATAACACTTTTCTCATTCTGGGATATTTATTTTGTTTCACTTTAGCATACTTTTAAAAAGAGTACCTATTATAATGGAAATAATGTACTTAATTGTGAACTGAATGTCATGTTTCCAGAAACTTGCATGTTAATTGCAATTAAATGAACATGTATTAGAAGTAAATACAGAGCACAGAATGACCAAAAATTTGACTGATGGTGATCTTTGACCTTGACCACCCATGTCACGCTTACCTTTGACCTTGCATAATCTCGGGGGAATATTATGGTCTTTGTCCTTTTATCTGGCATTTCTCTGTTTCCCCATGACCTTTCATGTCCTCTGGGGTCGATTTTGACATTTTCGACATTACATACCTGGAGTTTCCATTTTTGACCTTTGACTTTACATATCTGAACTCCCCAGGGCCGCTTTTGACCTTCCATACCTGGACGTCCCATATCTGTACAGCACGTGTTTCGCACCGGTTTCATTTCATTTCAGAGATTTTGAAAGGTCAAAGGTGAGCGCAACATGGGTGGTCAAGGTCAAAGGTCACCATTAATCAAATTTTTTGTGATTCTGTGCTCAGTATTTACTACTTATATCATAGTGTACATTTATATCACACACAAACATTTTGACTCACTTAAGTAGGCCTTAAATTCATCTTTATATATAATTTTATAATTCCTTCTATTGTCTTTGAAATATGATTAAAGTACTGCTGAATGTTCTGACATGCATTTATGATAAACTAAAATATACTTTGTCATTTCCGTCGAAACTTGTTTGCCTCGGATTTGAATATATTTGTAATGAAGTTGCAATTTAGTACATTTTCTTTAAAGCATGACAACATATTACAATTATAAAAACATAATGATTTAAAATGTAAAGTAAAATGTTTGACATTACTACAAAGTGCACTTTTTAAAAGTGTGTTAAGAAACATGATACTTTAAGTGAAAATTATAAAATTATAATAAAATATTTTACTTGTGCTTTAGTGTGTACACATTAAAAAAGTGTACTTCTTCAAAGCACGACAAAAGGTTATTGAAACATGATTTAAAATTACTTTAAAGTAAAATGTGTAATTTGATAACATTACAAAGCGCTTTTTTTTTTTAAAGCCTGCTTAAGTGTGTTCAGAAATATAGTCATTAAAATGCCCTCTCTTTAAGTACACTTAAGTGGCCTTTTATTTCATTAATATAATAATATCTGGAAGTACAGTTGTTTAAATGTACTTCTTAAGGTTTGATGTGCACTAGTTTGCATTTAATACAGTTAAGCACACTTTTTTTGTGCACAAGGGTTGTACAGACTCAGTAGGTATTTAAAGACGGTTCTTCTTTTTATCCACAGATGAATCAGAGGACTGTGATTTTCTGTGGCATTGCATCTTTTCCATTCAATTATGAGTGTGTTTGTTTGTCGTTGTGTTTGTATTGCAGCTTTGAAATGAAACAGTATATTTCTAGTGTTTTTGAAGCTTGGTGGTTTTTAACCCTGTTTCTGGAGGCCCCCAACTGTTCACAGCTGATTCAGCTCATGAGCTTCTTAGTAGAAACACTTGAAATGTGTGTTTCAGTGGAGACAGAGAGCAAAACGGACTCTTCTGACACTTCAAATAGTACATGTGCTTTATATAACCCTCATAACAAAAAAGGTTGGCTCCCTTGTTGAGCCGTAGTGCAGCAATAGAACATAGTTTGGTTTGAGACCAACTCAGCAAAAAAAAGAAAGAGAGATAAAATCATCAAAAGTGGCAAATCAGTAGTGCTTTGATCACATCCTTTCTTCTTCTTTTTAGCATTTTTATGCAAATGCTGTTTGTTCATTAGTAATTAAAATGAAATACCTGCTTTAGTTGATTGTCAAGTTCAAAAGGCTTATTCTGTTTATATCAGGGAGCCGCAGGTGTGTTTTGTCTATGGCATTTCCCTTTGAGTATTAAACGAAGAACAGTTATCTATCTGTCTTATCTAAATATATAAAGTGAAAAAATAAATGGAAAAAAGTCAATTCAGGGATTTTTTCAGGTGTTGACATATTTGTCTTTATTATATTGTGGATACACATACAGTACTTGTTGAATCATACAGTATGACTAATTTGACTACTGTACTGTATAAATACAGTTGTACAATGGTGTGCTTTACAGTGTTTATTCAGTTTCAGAACTTTAAACGCAGACCATTAATGCTTCACATTGATCGTTTTCTCTCATTTCTGATGCAACCCAAAGTATAAAGAAATGAAATACTGTAAAAGAAAGTTAAAAGTGGCTCAATGGCAGAAATTTGGCACTGACAACATCATCGGTGCGGTCTTTTCAAAATATTCCCCAGAATAGCTCTGATTCCACAACAAAGGAAGAAAAATAATGAATCAGTGGCTTGCTGAAGAAACTATTAAGGCTTGCCACCTTCAATATCATGACAAAATAATTGTGTACAAAGGATCTGATTTTCATTCCAAAGGCCATTTCTGTAACCCACATCACGTCCTTATCATGCAACGTTCGTATAAAAATGTTCCCCTTCATATTAACACATTCAAATTGGCACAAACCTGAAATGAAAGACACGCAAAGCTCATGAACATTTGGCTTTCAATAGCAAGTGCAAATAACAGAACTGGCAACATTTCACACGTTACGGAATTTGAAACTTGAACATAATTTGCGAATGAAAATTTTTGAAAGCGGATTTCGATAACCTTAAAATCAGCGTTTTCTGAGTATAATAACATCGGCTAGTTAGCAACATGCGAACGGTACACTAATCTGCCGGGTTTCTTTCAAACCGATGCGCGATATTGCACGGAGCTCCTTCTCAAACACACAAGCACGAAAATCGCCTACTGCTAAAAAGCTATTCGTTAGTACAAAACCAAAGGAAACAACCGCCGTTAATAAAAAGAAAACAGCAATTTGCATAATTCATGGCAACATGTTAATGAACTGTGGAAGCACAGTTTTCTCTCAGTCTAGCGCACGCACACGTAAGTTCAAAAGCACGGTTGGGAAAATGAAGGAAGGAGAACCGCAAGGGCAGGTATTGCTAATGTCCGCACTCAATCATGTCCTCGCTAATGACTTTCCGTCCTAGTCATGGCACTGGTTTTATGAATGGCTCCTACCTCTCTGAACTCCTTTCACGCCGTCACGTGTTCAGCAGAGACCGCCACGCACCTCTAGAACTGCGAGGTCTCGGTGAAGGAAATGGCGTCGCTTTTGTCGATGGTGAATCCACCGTTGACGTAAGATTTCTTCTCGCACTCGTCGTCATCCAGCGTGGTCTCCAGGGCGAAGGGGTTGGCCGCGTCCACGTCTGAAATCAGGTCCATCCTCTCTAGTTCTCGCTTTGACAGCTTCTGGACTATTCCAGCGCCGTAGGCGTCTCCCAGCACGTTGATCATGGTACGGAAGCGATCGCTGGTTTGATGGGAAAAAACAATGTAAACTTCACACTATAGCAGCTATAGGGTTTTAGCAGCCATCACTCCAGTCTTCGTGTCACATGGTCCTTCAGAAACCATATACTTCAAGTCATGTCAGGTGTCAAACTCAGTTCCTGGAGGGATGCAGCCTCGGAGGTCGCTGTGATTTTGCCAAGTAAGACATGTTCCTGGATCAACATCTTTTGTTGATCCTGGATCAACATTACTGTCCAAAAATATAGACTAAACCCAATCCCTACCCCTAAACCTAACTCTACCCATAATTTATTCCTAAAATCAGTGTGAAATGATAGCTGATTAACAAGGGTGTAGAAGCTCCTAACCCTGATCGTAAGCCTAAAACAGATATTTCCTGAAAAGTTATCCCTCAATTCTGATTGGTTAATTGGAATGTTGTTCCAGGATCAACAAGGATGTTGATCCAGGAACATGTTGTACTTGGTGAAATCACGGTCACCCGTGACCATGTCGTAATTACTATGTCAGGTGTGTTGAAGTCATTTGGTCTGAGCAAGATTGAGACTTGTTTCCGTCACATAATAAAAAAGCCTTTTCATCTCACAATTCAGATTTTTTTTTCTTTAAATTGACAGATATAAAGTCAGAATTGCTGGCAATTCTGAGGGAAAAAGTCAGAATTGTGAGAAGTTATGTGAGTTTTAAACTCCCAATCGCAAGAAAAATTCAAAATGTTGGGAAGAAAAGTAGTAATTGTGAGATAAAAATTTGTGATTGTTTTTTATTCCGTGATGGAAACAAAAATGTAAACTCAGAATTCTGATTTTAAAAAGTCAGAATTATGAGATATAAGCTTTATTAAATTACCAAATTATATAAAGAATTATTATAAAAATAAAAAAGCAATCACAAATTTTTATTTCACAATTACTAAATTTCTTCCCAAAATTGTAAATTTTAAATTGTGAGTTTATAACTCACATAACATCTCATTTTATCTCAAGTTATATCTTGCAATTCTAAGTTTACATTTCACAATTCCGACATTTTTTTCTCAGAATTCTGAGTTTACATCTCAGAATAGGGGTTATGCGCAACAGACTTCCGTATTCTGTTAACCGGGTCTCGTCGCTTCCGGTTCAAGCGTTTTGCATATGCTTAGTTAAATATGAAGCCGTTTTACTCAAGATGCCTTCAAAGTAGATACCAATGATGATCATAACCAATGTCCATCACATATGCTGACTGATATCTAAAAGTTTTTTTTATTTTTATTCTTTTCACATTTAGATATAAAAATTGAATAAAATGTCAACAATAAAAACAGCTAGCTAGTTTAACTGATTATCTTAAAAGTCCATAGATATCGCTATTACCGGTATTTAATACGGCTGTTAACACGTTCTCCGACAAGCGGAAGCAATAGGTGCGTTCGACTTGAAGCTCGGCTACAGATGGCAGTCAACGAGAGTAGCCGCTTGCAGTCGGGGGCGGAGTTGAAAACGGAGCCGTCAAGCCGGACACTTTCTGCTCCCGTTAGTGACGCTCACGCGGTGTTTGCATACTCTATCACAGATGAAGTGAATTAAATGCAATATTTGTCAAATATACAGACGGTTTAGAAACGTTTTCATGAGCAACAGATATACTGATTATATACTGCTTAATACAACGCCATCTGTTCAAGAATAAAGTTCAACGTAAATACATACTATTTAAATACTAATAAAGTGGGGGTATATATGCTTTCATGATAAACGTGACTCAATATAACATTGCGACTACAGTAAAAAAGCTTTTAATGTTCTAAAAACACAGATTTATGAGCAGTATTGGATTTGAAGATGTTAGAAACACATGTCATTGTTGTCATGTGGTGAATTTGGCCAATCTGAAACAGCTGTGTCGTCATCAGCGCTCCTGCAGTCGCTCTGAAAAAGCTGCGCCAGCTGAGTCAGCCGGCTGCTCTCGAAACGATATCGCGGTACTTTGATGCCACACGTGACAGTGACGTGGCGTCGGCGCCGGTTCAAGTCGGACTAAATTTCTAACCGGCATGCACTGCTTCAAGTCAGCCGCCGATCGGTTTGCGCGGCGCCGCATGAAGTCGAACGCACCTAATGAGACCTGTTTTCTGGGCTTGGTCAGGTGATGTTCGACATATACCCTATTGCAGGAAAAAAGTCAAAATTACCTTTTTTATTCCATGACAGAAATGGGCTTCCATAAGATGCCAATGTACCTTTTATACAAAAAAACGAAACAAAACCTACCTATACAAAATGTGCAACAGTGAGTTTTTCCATTTATATGTGTTCTATCGTAATTGTACAATATTATCATATTTCTTACACGCTTAGATAAAAGAGATTATTTATTTTTAATTTATAGTTTATTGTAAATGAAAAAAAACATTGCATCCATCCATCTGGCATGTTTTCTCATTGACACGCCCCCAACTCACGGCTTATAGAAAGTTCAGTTTCCCCACTTGTAATTACGATTTTGCAGTGACATCCATGTGCGTTAAGGCCTGTTCACACCAAGGACGATAACTATAAAGATAACGATAAAGATATAGTTCTAAAAATCGTTCTCAATATTAAAGAATAGCAGAGTCCACACCGCAACTTTAACGATAAATACAAAGAGAAACGATATCGTTGGAATCACTTTCAAAACGATTTTTCTCCAGCTGATGAACGATAAAAAATTGACAGCCAATCAAAATCCATCCTGCTGTAACGAGCTCAAGAATTTAAAGCGGCAGACGAGCGTGTGCTTAGAATAAACAGACGATATGGTTCGCTGGTGTGGACGCTAATATCGTTATCTTTATAGTTATCGTTCTTGGTGTGAACGGAGCTTTAAACTCATAAATACAATTTTTCCAGACATGACTTTAATGCACCATTTTTTCAGCCCTGAGTTTCCGAGTTTGGGGGCATGTCAGTAAGAAAATATGGCACAATGTATGCAGTGTCTGTATTGACTGTAAATTTGTTCAAATTAATTCAATTATAAGATTTTTTCCATTTAAAATAAAAACTAGCAAAGTGGCATGTACAAAATATGACAGTATTGTACAATTACGATAGAATATATAACGATTCGATTTTTAGCACCTTCATAAAGTGAATAAAAACATAAAGCAAAAACACACCCAATGTGCAATCATTATTCATCTTTTTTTTTAGATGTCGAGTTAAAAAATCTTGAACTTTTTGTAGTAAAAAGTACTTCGCCATCTTGCCCTGACCAAAGTGATTTAAACAGGTGCAAACTATTCTAACTCAAACTTTCAGGGAAAATGTAAAAAAAACAAAAACAAAAGACCGCGAAGGGTTGTCAGAAACTTAATGGTGGTGACACTGAAGTCATGTGACCGTGGTGTAGTTAATCTGTAGCCTACGTTTAGCTTTATACTTCTGTCAAGTGTATTTAAGCATAAAAATTCAATTGTGTTCATTTTGTTGGAGTTTATTTTCTGCAACAATCCAAAAGCCAATGGAAAAATTCTATTGGGTTTTTGTCGTGGGAACCTGGGTGATATGGGTTGGCCTACAAAAATACGTCATCACTACTGTGTCACATTAATTAAACCCATAGACTGTATAAAAACATGGACGTAGTGTCCGTGACGTCACCCGTAGGGTTCCGAAGATAGTTTTTGAAGCTCAAAAGTGGGCGGAGGCGGCCGTCGCCATCTTGGCAGCGCGTCACCGCGCGTCACTCCCGGATAATCGAAGATGGGCAAAGAGGAGAGTTTTGAATAAAATTATAAAGAATAAATAAATTAATAAATAAAATTACATTACAATATCACTCGCCGGAAAAATGGATCCCAGACTTGGACGGTCTGTTAGTACAATTAACCGCACAACAAGACATTTTATTTGATAATTTTAAGAAATAATCACGAAAATAACCCATAGACTGAATAAAACAAAAGCAGAAACACGGCAGAGATGCCAAGTTCAGCGGCTGATAGAGACAGCAAGGTCAATCCACCTGTCACTCAAGTGGCCACGCCCTTAATTATGCAGAACTTTAAGGCTTAATATAATTTAAATGGATGAGTTATAAAAAAATTCACCCCCCTCAGTTGTCATGAAGGGCAAAATTAGCTATATAGACCAAAATCATTTTTTGAACCAGGCAACAAACATGTTTTTTTCTGCTGTTAAGTTAGGCATTTTAACATGGGGAGTCTATGGGATTGACTCCCTTTTGCAGCCAGCCTCTAGCGGACAGTTGACGAATTACAGTTTAAGTCACTTCCTTGTTGGCTTCACGAGAGAGAGCGGGAGGTTGCCGCTCGATTAAACCTGACACTTTGGTCATGAAAACCAAATACTTACAGCAGCCAATCGACAGCGACGATGAGGGTGACATCAGTGGCAGGAAGGCCCACTGCTGTGAGCACTATCACCATGGTTACCAGTCCAGCATTTGGAACACCTGCTGCACCAATGCTGGCGACTGTTGCCGTGATACTACGGAATGAACGATTAAGAAAAGTATCATTCGGGCCTTCGTCCTTCATGAAGCCACTTAACTCTATTATATCACACCAATTGGCTTATATCCCACCTACCTAATGGTAACAATCTGGCCAGCGTCCAGGTCGTAGTTGTTCAGTTGAGCAATGAATATAGAAGCAACAGCTTCATACAGTGCAGTGCCATCCATATTGATAGTCGCACCAACTGGAAGGACGAAGCGAGTGATTCTCTTGTCGATCCTGTTGTTCTCCTCTGCGCATCGGAACGTGACCGGCAGAGTGGCTGAGCTGATACAGTGAAGACACTTGTTATTGCAAAATAGCAGTTTTCTTTGATTGTTGTGGATTTAAAAAGTCTCTTTGTTCACGTAAAACATCTAAAACTGGAATGACAGGTCTTCAGGAGCAGGGCTGAGCAGCCTTGTTATAAAAAGCTCAAAATAATGATCAAAACACAACACCAAAGGCTGCTTGAAAAGATTTTTTAAAAAGAATTATTCATAGCATTTAAACAAATGTATGCCTTTTGCTTGTGCGGAATCTATTGGGACACTCAAGTCCCATCTAAAATGTCTGAATTTATTGCATTAAAAAACTAAATGTTATTTTGTTTTTAAATTGTCTTTAAAAAAAGTTCACATTATTTTCTTAGTTTTAATAAAAAATAACTAATTAAGTTTTATATATAAAATATCCTAAATATGTGCAAAGGGTCAGAGGTACACTTTAGCATAGTTTTAAAAAGAGTACTTGTTGTGTTAAATTTATATTACATGCAAATTAGCTGAACTTTAGTGAGCTTTTTGACTCATCTTTATACAAGTGCATCTTTATACAGTATGTAGTTTCGTAATGAATTGTTTTTGAAATATACTGCTGAATCTACTGACAAGCATTTATGGTAAAGTCATTTCTGTTGAAACTTGAATGTCAACTATTTAAATATTATTTTTTAATTGCACTTTTGTAAGAAAGCTGCAATTCAGTACGTTTAAAATATATTTACATTAAATGTAATACTGAATTTAAGTTGCGAGCCACCGCCAGCATTTTTGATCATTTCACAGCCCCAGAATGTTCTGTCGTATGAATATCTGAACATGCAATATGTCAAAAGAAAAAACAGAGCCTCCTGCTTTTAAACAAAAAACAAACGAACAAAAAATATTCTTGCTTATTGCATTCTTTTTTTATCCACTCTCGAATATCTGTAAGTTTCATAAAAAAGTAACATTTTGAACAAAAAGCTGAGAAAATTGAAATTCAGAATGCTGGTTGAAACATAGATGAAGATGATCGCTTCCATCAATGAAAATTTCATTCGGTGATGTTAGGCAGTTTTGATTTATTTGCTGTTTAATGTTTGATGGTCGTGTTATTTCACATACTGTATGCATCTGCATATTTAATAAATGCCTTCTGAAGCGAAGCGATGTGTTAGCGTAAGAAAAATATACATACTTAAAACTTTATAAACCATAATCTCTAGCTTCCGCTAACTGATGCATGTTCACGAGGGAGTGGCGTTCCAGTGGATGACGTAGGCGTAGCGTAAGCTCCGGTGAGAATATGCTAGTCTCGTGAGAACCATGTTTTCTTTACAGCAAAGGAAAACCAATCTCCTACACAGTTAGCGGAAGCTAGAGATTACGGTTTTAAATATGGAAATTTTTCTCACACTAACGCATCACTTCGCTTCAGAAGGCCTTTATTAAGCTCCTGGAGCCGTGTGGAGCACTTTTTATGATGCATGGATGTACTTTTTTTGGGCTTCAAAACCTCCACCACCATTCACTGCCATTATAAAGCTTGGAAGAGCCAGGATATTTTTAAATATAACTCCGATTGTATTTGTCTGAAAGAAGAAAGTCATATACACCCAGGATAGCTTGAGGGTGAGTAAATCACGGGGTAGTTTTCAATTTTGGGTGAACTATTCCTTTAAACAGTGGTTCTCAACATTTTTACTCCAAGGCCCCCCTCCAAAACACGCTTCTTCGGCGAGCATCCATAATAAAACACTTACTGTACATTAATTTTGACAACTACGTGAATATACTGAACTTTGTTCAAGCAGAAATATGTTACAGTGAACGGTTTGTTTGTGCATTAATAATAGCGGATGAACGTGCGCCTAATGTACGACTCCTGTATGTCACTATAATCGTCTTTTCCTTGATTACAATCTTCTAAAATGAGAAACCGCTTGAGCTGTTCAGAAACTCATAATATTACAAAATACATACACAGAAAGAGAGGGGGTGCTGTTATTTATTTATATGTGGCATTGGACCACAAAACCAGTAATAAGGGTCAATTTTTTTGAAATTGAGATTTATACATCACCTGAAAGCTGAATAAAAAAGCTTTCCATTGATGTATGGTTTGTTAGGATAGGACATATTTGGCTGAGATACAACTATTTGAAATCTGGAATCTGAGGGTGCAAAAAATCAAAATATTCAAAAATATATAAAAATATATAAATATATCCAAAATATATAAAAAATCATCTTTAAAGTTGTCCAAATGAAGTTCTTAGCAATGCATATTACTAATCAAAAATTAAGATTTGATATATTTACGGTAGGAAACAAAATATCTTCATGGAATATTATCTTTACTTAATATCCTAATGATTTTTGGCATAAAAGAAAAATGAATAATTTTGACCCTTACAATATATTGTTGGCTATTGCTACAAATATACCCGTGCTACTTATGACTGGTTTTGTGCTCCAGGGTCACATATATATTTAACTTATTAATCATGAAATTATTAAATTTATTATACTTGAATTTTGAATCACTAAGCCCCCCCCCCCAGGGTTGAGAACCACTTTAAAAGCATCCTATATTTTTCCAAGGTCACTTGGATTTATATCCTCTCTATTCGTAAGAGCTACACTGTATTCTGTTTGACTCAGCAGTGTGCTTTCAGTTCATTCCACACGAGTGCAGATGGCATTTGTTTAACTGCAGCTGCAGAATCTCCTGACTGATGTTCGGTCGCCCTTATCACTCAAATTAGTGGAAGTTTGGAGTTTATGAAATGTATAATAAGCACATCTGCAGCTCGAGCAGTTTTAAATGTCCATGGCTCTTATCTGTGTGTGAACAAAGCCGACAGTAAATCTGCTCCTCTGCTAATCAACAAGGGAACATTTGAGAAGCTTGTTCACCCGCTGAGCACCGTCACCATGTACAGGCCCATCTTCCTGAAGATCTCCCAGTCGTCCACCTCCATGATCTTGGCAGCAATTAGGAACAAGATGCCAATGGGCATGTAACTGCCAGAGAAAATTCATTACATTTATAATCAATATTACTCATAATTCCAAGAAACATATCATTTATTGGCTGATGTATCTTCCTACATGTTTTTTCAACTGCATAACTGTAATAAAAAATAACTGTTTACATTTTCTTAAGAAAAAAGTGAGTCGTGCTTCTTGTGGGTGGTTGCTAGGGTGTTGCTATGTGGTTTCTAGGGTATTCTGAATGGTTGCTAAGGAATTGCTATGTGGTTTCTAGGGTGTTGCTATGTGTTTTTTAGGGTATTCAGAGTGGTTGCTAAGGAATTGCTATGTGGTTTCAAGGGTATTGTGAATGGTTGATAAGGAATTGCTATGTGGTTTCTAGGGTGTTGCTATGTGTTTTTTAGGGTATTCAGAGTGGTTGCTAAGGAATTGCTATGTGGTTTCAAGGGTATTGTGAATGGTTGATAAGGAATTGCTATGTGGTTTCTAGGGTGTTGCTATGTGTTTTTTAGGGTATTCAGAGTGGTTGCTAAGGAATTGCTATGTGGTTTCTAGGGCGTTGCGAATCGCAATGTATTTTTTAGGGTATTGTGAATGGTTGCTAAGCAATTGTTATGTGGTTTCCAGGATGTTGCTATGTGTTTTTAGTGTATTCTGAATGGTTGCTACGGAATTGCTATGTGGTTTCTAGGCTTTTCTAGGTTGTTGCTATGCAGTTTCTAGGATATTCTGACTGGATGCTAGATTGTTGCTATGTGGTTTCTAGGGTAATCTAAGTGGTTGCTATGTTATACCTACAGTGTACTAGGGTGGTCTCTAGGGACTTTCTATGTAATAGCTAGGGATTTCTAGGGGGTTGCTATGCAGTTTCTAGGGTACACTGGGTGGTTGCTAGGGAGTTGTTAAGTGGTAGCTAGGGAGTTCTCAGTTGTAGCTATGTGGTTGCTAGAGAGTTGCAATGTGGTTGCTAGGGTGCTTTGGGTGGTTGCTAGGGAGTTGCAGTGTGGTTGCTAGAGTGTTCTGGGTGGTTGCTAGGGAGTTGCAATGTGGTTGCTAGGGTGCTCTGGGTGGTTTCTTACTGACCCAGGTCAATAGAGCCCATCCTCAAGTCTGAGTATGAGCAATAATGGCAGTGATTCTTGCCTGTAAGGTGTCAGAACTAACCACATAATAATCTGAACGAGTCTCATGGTGGCCTCATTCAGAGCATCGAAGAACTCCAGCAGGATCCGGCCCCTTTCTCCCATCTTGCCGATGACCAGGCCGAACGTCACACAGAATACGATCAGACCGAGAACATTAATGCCATCGGAATATGATCCCACGATCTTGTAGTCTTTGGTCAAATTCTACAGCAAAAAGAAGCCAAAAATCAATACATACATTCTCCATTCTCCATCTTTACCATTAATTTACTCTTCATCTTTCTCTCACCTGTGCAACTGTTGAAATAATGGTGGTGAACGGTGGAAATGTAGCCGTGTTACTTGTACTTATGTTGGTTTTCGATGGTTCAATCTCTTTGCGCTGCGTCTTATACTAAAACACAGATGATGTTTATTCAAACTAAATAGTATATTTGCATGACTTAATATAAGTTAAAACTGTATATTTTACCTGCTGAAAACAGGCTTGAACAAGATTTTCAGGAAACATATTCCTATGAAGAAATGAGATAAACAAACCACTTGGTTAAAGTGATTGATACAGATTCATGATCATATTATTGGTAACACTTTAGTTTAGAGACCAATTCTCACTATTAACTAGTTGCTCACTAGCATGCATATTACTAGCATACTGTCTGTTTATTAGCACTTATAAAGCACATATTAATGTCTTATTCTGCATGACCATATTTTAGATCCCTTAATCCACCCCATACCTAAACTAAACAACTACCTTGCTGACTATTAATAAGCAGCAAATTGGGAGTTTATTGAGGCAAAAGTCATAGTTAATAGTGATTATATTATATTATATTATATTATCTGGACATGTAAGCCATACCTAAAATGGTCATGTCATTGCACAAATTTGTTATTTATTGCAATAAATGTCATGCATTTTTAAGTATTCCTTAAGGGGGTCATGAACTTAGAAACCAAAATTCCCTTGATCTTTTGACATATGAAGTCATTGGACTATAAAAACATCTTGTAAGTTTCAGAACTTTCCCGTTAGTCTAAAAACAGCTTATATTGAAGGCAGTCTGCCAAAACGACAGCTTTTGGAATGTTCTACTCTATGATGTAATAGTGTGAATAAACACTGCCTCCGCAGATGAAGATCAACGCCTGCTTCTACATCATTTTACGATTCGTTTACAAACAAGGCACAATTCAACGCAGGGTTTTCAGAAAGATTGAAACTAAAAGACGATGCTGTGCCAACTATATTAGATCCGACAGTAATGTCGCAAGTTCGCAACACAAGTGTGAGTAACTGTTTTCATTACATGGTCACTATTGCTTTGTCTCTTCTTACAGATCGCTTGATACGTATTGAGTTTTTTATGCGTTTTTGACCTAGATCACAACAGCGTTTACTTCCGAGTCTACAATCCGCCGGCCACGCCTATTCAAACAGAGCGCTCTGATGAGGGGGGTTAAAAACAGCACAGAAAATACCTTATTACTTCTAAATTATTATTTTTTTTAATGTAAGTTAAAAATCTTGATAACATTATTAGTGGATCTCAGAGAACAGTACAAAATAAAAAACAAAGGCAGTTCATGACCCCTTTAAGTGTTCAAATATGCATATTATGCATGCATATTACGTATTTTTGTATATTATTATCTTCCTTACAATACAACATAGGTAGACTGAGGTGTGCGATTTTTACCTAACCAGGTCCAGTAAGGTGTCAACAGTGGTCACATTCGGAGTGCTTCCTGCTCTCTCGATATTATCAGCACTCTGAGACACCCCGGGTTTAATCGTCGTCACAAGAACGATTCCTTTTAAGCACAACATCATTGTTAAACAATCACAATTTATGTCTTTAAAGCTTATTGATGCCATGTTTACGTGACTCACCAAGAATGACAGCAATTATGGTAGTGGAGAGGTAATAAACCACCGCACGCAGACCGATCCTGCCCGACACCTCAGAGTCCAGCGCTGCCACTCCTTCACAAACAAGGCCAGAAGTTATGACTACTTATTCATTCTCCAAAGAACACACTTGACCCACTTAACAATGCCAACACAGAGTGTTAAAGGGGTCATCCGATGCTACATGCACTTTCACAAGTTGTTTGAACTGAAATGTGTGTTGGCAGTGTGTGTACACAACCATCCTATAATGATAAAAGATCCACCCAGTGTTTTGTGTTTTTATCTACTAAAATCTTTACCCCTTTCTCAAATCGAGCCGATCTCAGATGATCTACCTACCCCGATCTACCTAAATGCGTTTATGTTCGCGCGAATCATTCGTGATCCAGCTTCACCTACAGAAGAAGTGAGTGTAAGGTTTTTTAATGAATCTTTGCAAATCGCCTTTCCTAATAATGTGCTAATTTATGGAAGCCCGTTTCCGTCACTGAATAAAAAAATAAAAAAAAAAGGTTATTGCGACTTTTTTTGAAAAAAAGTCAGAATTGTAAGATATAAACTCGCAATTGCGAGTTATAAAGTAAGAATTGCGAGATATAAAATCAGAATTGCGAGATAAAAACTCGCAATTCTGACTTTTTTTTCTCACAATTCTGACTTTTTTTCTCGCAATTCTGACTTATTCTGAGTATATATCTCGCAATTCTGACTTTATAACACGCAATTGCGAGTTAAAGTCCAATTTTGAGGGGGGGGGGACTGATATGTTCTCAGAATTGCGAGTTTATATCTCACAATTCTGACTGTATAACTCGCATTTGCAAGTTTATATCATGCAACTCTGAGAAAAAAAGTCGTAATTAAAAAGTCGCAATTACCCTTTTTTAATTTTTTTATTCAGTGGTGGAAACGGGCTTCCATACTAATTAGCAAGTTTCACGATGAAGGCGGCTAAAGTAAACAGTCCCTCAGAGAGCGGCTCGGGAGAGAGGGGCGGAGTCAGCAGAGCTCATTAACATTTAAAGGAAAATGCTACAAAATGGCTTGCTCTGAAAAGAGCTGTTTTTGACAGGGTAAAAAAGGTGGTTTTACACTACCATTGAGAAGTTTTAACCAAACTATGTTACAGACTTTTCATTAAGACCCTAAAGAATCATATCAACTTGTGTAAAATGGGCATCCTATGACCCCTTTAACCAATGCAATTGGGTTACATTGCAACAAAAAAAGCTTTGTAGCTACAGATTCCCTCCAACAGTTTGGAAGCGCTGTAGACGTGAGGTTTCAGACATTATCAATAGCATAAATCCTTATCTAGAAAAGATTTGCACTGATAAGTGACAACGCAAAGTTTGAACACATTAAAATAATGAATTTAGAACACAGAAAAATATTACAGCTATTTATAAATGATCTCTAAACTATGTACTGATTGGTCTATTACATACTAAGCTTAATTGGCAACCAGTCAGATAAATAAACCTGGGCCATTTTAATCCAGTAATCAAGCATTAGATCTGCCAAAGGGGCACGTATACGGTATGACTGTGATGTGTGTATATTGCCATTATTACAGTATGTAATCAAAATGAAATCATTATTGCTGATCTTCAGTGATTACTGTAAGAACTTTACTGCCTTTATGCCCAGAAATGATAAGGATGGTGTCCAAAACACAAACTGATATTGTTCAAAATATTGTCCTTTTGGACGGCACTGTATACTGTACATATTTCAGCAATAAAATATTTGGCTATAGTATGCCAGTGTTTCCTAAACAAGAGTTAATTCATTAAATCACAAAATGTAAAATTAAAATAATAACATTATTTTGAAATAAAAACAATTAAAATAAACCACTTACTAAAAAAGATAAAAGATGTTGAGTTTTTACCTGAATATAACCATTAACCAACATCAAAGAACTGTGTGTGAACATGTGAATGGTTTGTTAAATTATTGAAATATTAACTTATAATCTATATGGTGGTACTTTAGGAAAATACTGTAACTCTATGGGGCTTGAATATGACTCTGTACTCCTTTAAAACACTATGGCACAGAATTCACCTCAGCACTTTTCTTAACAACCTCTTTTGACTTTGCACTTGAAAATTTGGCTGATCCTTGACTGATCGCAAACAGCAACGCAAAGCTGATTTTGCACTAATTTAATCTAATATTTAATATTCTTTAAAGTGTTGTAGATTTATGTAGCAAAAGTCAAATTATTGACTATATTTTGAGACAAACGTCTTGTTAATGTTTTTCAGTTTTGTTTAAGGTAAGTAAAGCAACGGTTCTTCAATAACAGAAGAATTTGAAAGTATGGTATTTGGGGGTAAAAAGCACAGTAATTTGACTAACGACACAATAATTAACATCATAATAAATAGCTGGCTGACTTTTCCATTTGTTGACATGCCATGGTTAGATTCAGGTGGTAAATATCATATATTAAGTATGATTGTTTCATTATAATCACCATATTTATAATGAAACAATCATATTTGAAAATATGATATTAATCATATCACATAATAAAGTATCATGCTGTACCCGACTATTGTGGTTATTGTTAATATTTCTGTTTTCACTTTAATTTTAGTTAAAGTTTTAGTAATTGTATTGTGTTTTTGACATTTGTATTACTTTTTAAATGTCTATATAGTTTTTATTACTTTTTAAATGATTATTTTAGTTTATTTAGTTGGAGTTATGTTAGTACCTCAACTTAAACCAAATTAAAATGTCACCTTTTTGAAAAATGGAAACTAGCTGAAATCAAGTATGTTTTGTTTTTTTCATATTTTATTTCAGTTGATGTTTCTTTTATTTCAAGTAATGAAAATGTTTTTATTATTATTTTTTATGTTGTAGTTTTAACTATAATAACCCTGCTTGGCTGACAGAAATGTTTGGAAGTCATAAATATTTGTGACCCTGGATCACAAAACCAGTCATAAGGGTCAATTTTTCAAAATTGAGATTTATACATCATCTGAAAGCTGAATAAATGTATTGTTTGTTAGGATAGGACGAAATTTGGCTGAGATACAACTATTTGAAAATCTGGAATCTGAGGGTGCAAAAAAATCTAAATATTGAGAAAATCATCTTTAAAGTTGTCCAAATGAAGTTCTTAGCAATGCATATTACTAATCAAAAATTAAGTTTTTATATATTTACGGTAGGAAATTTACAAAATATTTTCATGGAACATGATCTTTACTTAATATCCTAATGATTTTTGTCATAAAAGAAAAATCTATAATTTTGACCCATACAATGTATTGTTGGCTATTGCTACAAATATACCCCAGCGACTTAAGACTGCTTTTGTGCTCCAGGGTCACATATATGACTAATGTTGCACATATTTAATGATTTTCAAATATAATATAATATAATAGTGTTTTTTTTTTTCATTATAGCTAGTGTGTGATTCTGAAATTCTATGTGATTGAAAAAGGCAGAAGACCCTGGCAGGGCTGCGGTTAATCTTTTAAGGGCAGACCCTCGTCCCTGAAGGTGGCCCTGGACACTGGTAACATAAGGGCAACATTTACAACCTCCGAATTTTCACAGCCAGTCATAAATGGAGATACTGTGATGGGCTGAAGAGAGAGCGATACCTGTTATCATGCTGGAGACGATGAGAGGCAGGATGACCAGCTTTAGCATTCTCATCAGGATTTCTCCCGGGAAGCCAAAGTACTGCTTCTCCAGCTGCGACAGAGAGGTGTAGTCCCGCACCAGCACTCCCAGCGCGATCCCTGCAGACAGAAAGCACGTCAAGCGGAGTGCAAATGTGAAACTCTCCATTGTGCCTAATCTACCCCAACCCCAAAACAAGCCAGTCTGAATGTACAGAGCTACATATTCCAATAATATCTCAAGATCAACTTCATTTACAATTACTAGACTGACTGTATCAAAATTATTATTACAAAAAACAAAGTGTCATCGCTGATCTTTAGAGGGATTTCACAGCAAGTGTAAGAGATTCCAAATCTCCAATCTCACTGACATTTCGAAAGGGTGCAATGAGAATAGCGAGCTGTAAATGCTTTGTGATGTTCAGGGCACAAATAATATTCCTGTATTTGTTACCAGATGCACAACACCAGATGTGCTGAATTAGCCGCAGCTGGTAAACTAAATAAAAACATTTCAGACAAATGTGTCATTGGGTATATTTGGATATAGTCAGTTATATCAAATATAATCTTTCCAACACACTTAATGAAAGCTGGTGGACTGCACTGCAGATACAGCAAAATAACATTTATATGTATGTGTTTCTGTTTCCAATGCCCTTCTATAACATCAGGCATAATTTTCAAAACGCTGCACACTTTTAACAAAATTCAGATCAAATGTGTGCTGATATGCAGTTGTCATTCTTGTCATTCTTTTATCCCTACTCAAAAATAATTTGTAGTATATATATATATATATATATATACTGTATATATAATGAAATAAAAGGCCACTTAAGTGTACTTAAAGAGAGACACTTTCATGACTGTTTCTTAAGTCACTTAAGTAGATTTCTAAAAACTGAACTTTGTAATGACGTCAAATTAAAAGTTTTACTTTAAAGTACATTATAAATAATTGTTTTAATAATGCTTTAAAGAAGTACACTTATTTTGATGTGTTGACTAACATACTAAAGTACATTTAAAAAAAGTTAATTTTTTAATTGTGTGTTATTTAATATTACATTTAAAGCAAATATTTTTAAAATGTATTAAATTGCAACTTCTTCATTCCAAATGTTCAAAGACAATAAGTAATTATGAAATTATATATAAGGCCTACTTAAGTGACACCCTTAAGTTAATATACAATTAAGTTAATATACTATAATACAATTTCATTTACTTGAAATTAACATGCAATTAAGTGTGAAAACATTACATTCAGTTCACTTATATATTTTTATTCTAAAGTATATTATTTGTGTACTAAGTATGCTAAAATGTACTTCTTTTTCACGCGGGATGGCTTCACAACTATTTGTATATCTAAAATGCAATGCCATATCTGATATTCTCACTTTCAAGTACACATCCTGAAGACGTCTTGAATGTTTAACGAGGCTAAACCAAACCCAGGTGACCACAAATGCCACAGTCAATCATCTAGTCTCTGTTGTTCTGTAACATATCTTTATTACTTTTGAGCATCATAATGATTATGGTGCTTATGACTGAGTAAATAAAAGATGTTATGAAACACTTGAAAGAGTGATAGGCTTGACCTGCCTTTTGTTTTATTGTAGGTGACTGCACAAGCTTGCATGGCATCAAAAAGTGAATCTGTGTTTTGACCAGTGCACAAACATGGCCATATAAATCCAGAAAATAAAAGAAAAGAAACATAGCATAATTTACTTTAAGTATTAAACAAGCACAGGACTGAGAGTTTGTTATACATAAAACATTAACCACTATTTTGGCTATTTTTATGATATAAAAATGCAATCAAAATAATATTATGATAGCAGTATTGCAAAAGTGTATTCATGTTATATAAAAATAGTACATGCCATCACTGCAGTCAAGACTTTTCTCATTGTTTTGTCAGTACATAATAGTGCATAATCTATGACCGCTGCTTAATTGCCTCACTGATCAGCTCAGAAATGCCTAATAGAGCAATAGTGAGATTTTATTGGACAGCCTATAAGTTCTGAGCATTTCTCCAAGCATTAAACCATTAATGTTGTGATGACTAAGCCTTCACGAACTGGCCAGTTTGTGGCAAGGCAAATAACTACTAATTTATGATTATTTACAATTGAATATACCATGCTTTTATCTTCAAGAATTGTACACATTTGCTATTATAAAGTGGTTGTCGTAAAGACTTTTTTGTACGCTTCTGCACAAAAATGTACAGTATAGGGGAGAGTTGGCATTCGGGTAAAGTTGTCTCAGTAACTGTAAAGTTATACATTTTAATTACACAAATGCCCCATCAAAACTGTATTAAATTATTAAATGCTGTGAATACTGGCCTCAAGATGCAAAAAAAAAGAAAAAACAAACAAACGCACATAATTAATGCTGGCATATATTAACGCAACTATGTGATGAGCATATATTTTAACAGAAAGGTTAAACTGTGTTCTCAGTAACTTCTCACTTGTGTATATTGTAATTTATTATTTACGGATATTTTGCATCACATTTTACTATGTTTCATGGTGTCAGTCGCGGAGGAAGAACGTGACACAATGTCTGTGACTGAAGTGGCGGCTGTACCGGAGCACGCTCACAAAATGGCGGTGACAGCAGCGCCTGATCGCAAAATGGCGAACAGGATCACAAGGGCGAGACTAAAGGGATAAATCCAGGAAAACAGGCACAGATCAAAAACCGAGAAAACAGACAAGGCAAGACTAGGCTGGGCTAGGAAGCTAAAGAGGGCTCTGTAGAGTAGCTATCACTGCTGGCGATAAGCGCATACAATACTCGGCCGAGAATGGTTGTTTGAGTGAGTGTTATATAGTGAGTGAGTGATATGAAACAGCTGTGTGCAATCAGTGCTGTGTGCAATCAGTGCAATGAATGATGGGATATGTAGTCCGGGGTGCTATGCAACAGTGTGTAGTGCGAGAGTCAATGAAAATGGAAAGGGTGACCTCTGATGGCTAGCAGACGGAAGTTCATGGACCGGATTCGCGACACATGGCATGTTGAATTGTTTTGTTTATCATAACAGTTAAAATTTTCATAAAAAGTCTTAGTTTAAGCTGGTTTGCTGGTTTTATCTAATTCAAGCTCATTTCCCAGTCTGGCCAAACTGGAACTTGCAATCATCTTAGGCTGTTTTGCACGTTTTATAGCATTTTCAACACATATTTTGTAAGCGATGCCTTTTTTAAAGGAATAGTTCACACAAAAAATGAACATTTTCTGAAAATTTACTTACCCTCAGGCCATCCAAGATGTAGATGAGTTGGTTTCTTCATCTGAACAGATTTGGAGAAATTTTGCATTGCATCACTCTGCAGTGAATGGGTACCGTCAGAATGAGAGTCCAAACAGCTGATAAAAACATCACAATAATCCACAAGTAATCCACACCACTCCAGTCCATCAGTTAACATATTGTGAAGTGAAATCTGCGTGGTTGCAAGCAACAAATACATTACACCGGGGCTTTTGATCAAAAAACTGTCCAAAATAATAACGCTTCCTCCTGTGAAAAAGTCCATCTCCTGTAGTTGTCCTCTCACATCAAAATCCACTGACATATTTGTTTAGAACTGTTTTGGACTATTTTTCTCTTCTAAATTATGCTTGATCTGTGCATATTTATCTCCTGATTGAGAATAAATGACCTTTTCACTGGAGAAAGCTGTATTATGGGTAGAGGACACCTCTTTTAGCACGGAAGCAATGGCTGATAACGTTGAAAAAGTCTTAATGATGGATTTATTACAAACATGCAGCTTTTCGCTTCACAAGATGTTAATTGATGGACTGGATTGGTGTGGATTATTGTGATGTTTTTATCAGCTGTTTGGACTCTCATTCTGACGGCACCCATTCACTGCAGAGCATCCATTGCTGAGCGAGAGATGCAATGCTACATTTCTCCAAATCTGATGAAGAAACAAACTCATCTTGGAGCAAATTATCAGCAACTACTCATTTTTGTGTGAACTATTCCTTTAAATTAAGATCAACATATGTCCAATGAACCGTCTTTTTTCCTAACCATTAACTATGGGCATCTTCAATCAGCTTTTAGGAATTTAAACAGACTTTCTAAAAAAGCGAAGTCACTGGAGTAAAGTGTGACAACTAGCCCCGACCTCTTTACACAATTTGTCACTCCTTGTGTGAGATGAAACAGAGAGATTTTACTGTGTCATACTGGAAGTCTGGTCACGTTTCTCTGTGGCAGTAGTAAAATATCTAGACGCACACACACACACTGATCAATGCCTTCATTCATCACATTCACCCTTCAACACACCTGCAGATATGTGCATCGAAGTGCAACAAACATAAACACTTTAACTGCCCTTATTGTCAAACCAGCCATTGAATGATATCACAACGGCGTTGCAGATCCATCTAACAGCAAGCACAGACAGAGAGAATAAAACAACAGCACTGGATACATAATTAACGGCATGAGACGTGAAAGAGCACAGCAATGAAGCGAGATACGCGATGCGGGGAAATGTGTCGCTCCAGCCCATCTTACCCAGTATCACCGAGCTGATGGTTGCTATGAGAATCCAGTTCCTCTTCAACAAGCCCTTCACATCCCTGCCTCTCCGCTCTTTCTTCCCCAGCATATCCATGACAGGCTATATGGAAAGGCGAGTGAATGTGGCGAGGCGTTTAGTCGCGGAGCGCCGGTGGAGAATGGTGTGGAGCTGCTGTTGGGAGGAGGATGTGATCTGCTGCTGCTTCTGTCTGTGCCAGAGTCTCTTGGCTCTCTTGATAACCTTTGACCGCTCGTTTATTGCAACTGGACCTCTGATTTACCGTCATTTCGTCTCATAGGACTATAAATGATGAGGTACAAAAATATTAGAATTTAGAAAGCACGACATATCACTGGCATATGTGCTGATGTAGCTATAACGTAATCTATATTGGTAGTATATTGTTACAATATAAACATCGAATTCTTTCACTCAGTAGTTAAACATTAAAAATCTAGCTTTTTTTTATGTGTAAGTAACAATGTTTGGTCAGATTAACAATTAACACTTGTTGATTAAGAGGGAAAGCACGTTCACACATTTGCTTTCTCAAATAGCCTACCTTTTTGACAATAATTGTCTTTCTGTGACTTTTAGTCTGTTATTATCGCGGGGATGGTGTTCAGCTCCTATTTAACTGCTGTAATGTTTGTTTGATGTCTCTGTAAAGATATTAGACTACTAAAAATAGACGTACATTTTTTTCCCAGGCAAAATACATACATGCAGGGATGGGCAGTATTACTATTTTGTATTTAAATACCTTTGAAAAAAAATCGAATGTAGGCTATTTTGCATTGGAATTAGTGCTGTCAAACGATTAATCGCGATTAATCGCATCCAAAATAAACGTTTTTGTTTACATAATATGTGCGTGTGTACTGTGTATATTTATTATGTATATTATAATTATATATAAATACACACACATGCATGCATGCATATATATATATATATATATATATATATATACGTTTATATATTTAATATATTTATATATTATATAATTTCTAAGAATATAAATATATACACGTAAATACATGTAAATATTTTCAAAACATATGCTGTCTTTATATACATAATAAATATACACAGTACACACATATATATTATGTAAACAAAAAGTTTTCTTTTGGATGCGATTAATCGCGATTAATCGTTTGACAGCACTTTTGCATGTAATGAATGTAATCTCTTCAGCACAAATGCATGTAATCTTAGTATTTTTGTATTTTCAAAATACATAAAATACTTTTTTGCCAATCAACCTTTTTCCTGCAGGCAGTATTTCAAATACATGTGTTTGAAATTCTATTTGTATTTAAATACCTATGTATGTTGTACTATTTAAATACATTTAATTTGAGTATTTTTGTATTTAGTATTTTTGTATACTTGTTGATACAGGAAATCAGCAGTCTAATAAAGAGGTTGATTGGCAAAAAGTATTTTATGTATTTTGAAAATACAAAAATACTAAGATTAAATGTAGCCTATTTAAATACAAAATAGTATTTTGTATTTCAAATACATGTATTTGAAATACTGCCCATCCCTGCAAACATGCATGCATATACATACATACATACATTTTATGTATTATTTGTATTGAATGTGCACTTGTGTACTTCAAATCGTAGAAGCAGGCTACTTTTTTAAAATACTGTACTTGCAGATAATATAATATCGGTGTACTTTCATGACGATGTTCCTGAACACACTTTTTAAAAATGCACTTTGTAATGTCAAATTAAAAGTTTTACTTTAACGTACATTTTTAAGTCATTATGTTTTAATAATCTTTTGTCATAAAGAAATGCACTTATTTTGATAGTTGACTATCATGCACAAAACATACTTTTTACTGTACTGCTTTATCCTGCTTAAGTGGGTCGAAAAAGCACTCTATTGCACATGTAAATGTATATTAATGTATAAACATTAATTTAAATGTGAACATTATAACATTATAAACATTTAACATTGTAAATGTTTTAATGTATATTATTTTAATTATAAATACTGTCTTTAAAGGTATGCTAAAGTGTACTTCTTTTTCACAAGGGTCTGTAAAGATTAGATATTAATTTCTTCAAGCAAAGGTGCAAACACACACACACACACACACACACACCGAGACACACACACACACACACACACACACACACACACACACACACACACACACATGCATGAAGATTCAGCTTTCATGTGAGTTATTGTGAGACACTACAGTTTGGATATAAATGTACACTGACAAAAAAAAGTACCATGCAGTAATTGGCTCTCCGATGAACATGGTAACCATTTAGATCCATGCTATGTATCGAAGTACCATCACCTTACCATAATACAATAATGAAAGGGTAGTCAACAGTTTCAAACTACTTAAAAAAAAAAGAAAGAAAAAGCGGTGACTATCATTGTGTGTGCCAGACAAATATCTCTCACCATATTTATCTGTATACTAAACACAGCCACAGTGAACACTGCCATTCTGTGCTGAGTGCGGTTGTGGCACTGCTATTATATATTACAAATGTCAACTTTCATTTCATGTCAGTTTACTGAGGACAGGCCATTGCAACTGCATTTGTTTCTGAGCATGATTGTACAAATGAAATGATACATACAGTGAAATATAATTACATATAATACAATATATATTGAACTTTACTAGTGTGTGTGTGGTGTGTTTGCAGCTGAAGAGCTAGTGCAGTGATAAAGAGAGCATGCTTGCTTTTTTAATAATATAAAGTAAAATGCACATCTGATAAAACAATAAGCTCACATTAATTAGCTGGTATAATTATTTATATAAGTACATTTTATTACATTACATATTTGTAATCGACCAGTCTTCTTGTAGAATGTAATGCAATATATAATGTGATATTAATGTTGCAATTAATGGTTAATTTAATAGTTTAATTGTTAATTTAACAGTTTATAGTTAATGCTTTGCCAAATCGTGTAATAGGCTATATTTAAATAGCTGACAAATAACAACCAATCCAACTGCACTAAATCTGAATTTGTCAATACATTCGATAGCTCATGCTGAACATGTTGAAATTAACAAATAAACATTGCTTTCATCTGATTTACTACAAATCTAACAGGTCATTAGTGTTTCATAGAAGGGTGGTAATCACCAAAATTAGATTCTACATAATTAAATGTGTTTTTTGTCCATATATAACCAATTTAGGTACCGCTGAATTTGCATGAACGGATATGGAGCTGTATAATATATTTTAATGATATTAATATATATTACACTATTGTAATTTTTATTTTCACAGTTACAAAATCACTAAGGAATATATCGGGTGTTTTCCAAACGTACAACTGCAAATTGCTTTGATCATTTACTTCACAAAAATGTCCAGTAGAGGGCGTAATATTATTATTTAGTGGCGTTTTCCTACCTGTTGTTTTCTAAAATTGATCAAAAAATTAAAAGCCATAAAATCCACCAGTGCATCTAAAAGAGAGTTTATATTAATAGCATATGTTCTAAGTAAAATGAATGATATGCAACTACTAACTATATTTAAGCTGTACGATAGATAGATAGATAGATCAAACTTAATCGAAATAAAAACTAACAAACAGCTTTACTGACCACGTGATGACGTAATTACGTCATGACGCACAATAATCACTGATTTTTTTTGTTGTTGTTTTTTTTGCAACGGGTGATTTAAAGCGAACCGCTCGAAAGAACCGATTCGCGTAAACGAGTCAGACTTCCAATCTCATATTTGAGTTGTAACACAAGCAACGTGACTCGAGCAAACCCCCCCAAAGGGCGTGGCTTGTTTTAACTACAACGAAGTCCACCAATCAGCGTCGAGACTAGAACCGTCTGTGCGGATCACAAACCAATCAGCTGAGAGGAAGGCGGGGCTTCGCCGCGCTCGTCTGCTGTGCGGAGAATCAGACAGCTCGCTCACTAGAAGGAAGTGCATCTGAAGTGCCGCTGTATTTATTTTGATGCACATGAGCGTTCATCTCTTCCGGTAAAATAACGTAATCCCCGACATCAGCACAGAGGGGTTTCACCCGGTTGTATGCATCTCCCCGGTAACGTTACATGTACTGTAGCGGTAGAGGCTGTTTTCACCGGAGCAGCGTGGGTTAAGGTGGGCCTTGCCCGGATATCTGTCTGACAAGCGAACCAAAACCGATCCGGTACCCGCCTCAAGATAACCAGCGCACTTAGTCCTCCAGAGACTACACTTGGAGCCCGTTTGGACTATCACACACACACTAGCCAGATGGGTAAGTAAAGCGAAACATGACGATTTGCAGATATCTGCTGAAGAATATGAACTCCTCATGATCAGTAATTAATATTTAACGAATTTCAAATGATAAATGCACACTAGTGAGTGTGTGAGTGGCTCAGGCAGTAACTAATGGTTTTGAGGCACAACCAGAGCGTGTTCACATTATGTGCTTTGGACAAACTCATTTTGAGAGCCCATCCTTCAGAGAGAGGCTGTGATGTAACGTTGCCATGGATTATTAACAAATGCACAGCAGGACCACACATGCTCATCATCCTGCATCCTTCATTTTTGGGCTAATTATATTCCTCCGGCTTGGTGAGATGATCACCGGTGCCCGAAGAAAATTAGTATTTAAATTTGCAGTGCATCTAGGAAATGAAGTTTGGTATTAATAACATGCCTCATATTTTTTAGACATCCCCAGTGCATCCTGGTCTTGTGTGATTGACAGCCTGTGATGTAATACTTGACACAAATATGTGAACTAGATGCTGGGAGATCAGTGCATGTGTGGTGAACTGAATGTGCATGTCAAATTGATTCAAATGAATGTGAACAATCTGGATCATGAAACAGTAAGATGGTGAGTCGGCAGAAAAGGAGGTCACATATAAGCAGACATAAGCTAAATATTCTGATGGAGGGATGGGCTGCGTGCGGTGTGTGTTTGGGGCAGTGATTTTCAACCTTTTTTTGGTCTTGTTTGCTCCAGCAGTAGGCACAAGTACCGTTATTCGACAGAAAATCATAAATATGTTCTTATTAGTGCCGTCAAACGATTAATCGCAATTAATCGCATCCGAAATAAAAGTTTTTGTTTACATAATATATGTGTGTGTAGTGTGTATATTTATTATGTCTATATAAATACACACACATACATGTATTTAAGAAAAATATGTT